ATGTCATTATTGTAATTAATCTTTGCTTTTTAGAGTACGGTTATAAATTCATAAGTGTCATTTAACTGAACTAATGAATTTGATTTAGATAATTTTCTTAATGATGCAGTATCCTCCATTCGTAGCGACAGAGATTCCTGGTCCTTCTCCAGACGGCGATTTTGGTAATTTGACTACGAGACCTCCACAGGTCGATCCGTTTATTGAGGAGCTTCTTTCTGAAAAACAAAGAGTTGACCCTACGCTGATTCGTGTGCACGAAGTAATCGATAGAGGTATGCTGAGTTTGTTCATATTGAATGTTTATCTCAATCTTTCAGAGTTAGAGAAAAGAGCTGGAAAACAAGAACCTGAGTACCTTGAAGTGGATATCGAAAAACCGATAAAGCTAGTAAAGAAAATACTTATTCCAGTTGCGAGGCATCCGAACGTAAGTTTTAGGTTGTTGTTATTCATTGTTATTTGTTTTTTTCATGCGGATATAGTGACCTGCCCTTATTAAGCTATAGTTTTTTATTTCTGGAAAGTTAAATCTGCTAAAGTGGCGTCGCATTAACACTGAGCATAAGTAGAAGAATGGCTTAATTTTCTTTGGCGATATTAATTGCCGTCAGCAGAAATGACCTTCACAAAACAGTGTGCCAGCAAGAGTATGTACAAATGCACAAATGTGAAACATTTATTTGGCGAGTTGGTAGGCTTTTCTATAAGTCTTCGTCGACCTTAAGGAGGCGCTTCAAACATCGGGTTGTTATCCGTTTACTTGAATGCTATGCTACTAAATTAATTGTCAGGAACAAATTGGGACTTACAGTAATAAAAGTTTTTCATTAATCGTCTTGGAAGAATTTGCTTTAATTAGCGTACCGTCACTCTTCTACCACCGCACGAATTCATATATTGATGTTTATGCAGCATTTAAAGTGTGCTTCTAAAACAGCACAGCGAACATGCAATTGCGGCAATGAACAGAATAATTCACGATGTAACTACCATTGTTGGGGTTCAAATGTCTTGGGTCATGGGGTGCTGAAATGGCTTTCCTAGGCTACTGCGACCATTGAAATGTACGTGATGAAATTTTGACTTGGATGAGTTATACCTAAATGGTTGTAACTAATGCATATGTTCTTTAAGACTGTCTACTGATGAAAGCACTGGTTTGAGTTAAAGTTTATTTTTACTTCATTGAACATCTGTAATGTTCTTCAAATAGGTGTATATTGTATTTATCACTTTAGATTGAGAAAGATGGCTTAAAATCGCCTTACGCGTCTAATCTCTTGCTCTTATCTTCTTAGTCATCGATGGCAAAGATTTTCACAGTTATGTAGATATGCCATTATTTTTGTTTCAGTATCTGACTACATTGTATGCATTGGGATTATGATTAGTAGTTTAATACGGATTTGTTGATGTTGCGATCTCTGTCTAATCCGGAGGAAGATCTACAGTGTTGTAAGCGATTGGTGAAATATGTCACACTTAAGCTGCATGCCTCGTTTGCCTGAAGACTTCTCATTTTACGCCATATTCCTGGCTATTGTTGAAAAGACACTGGGAAGCAGAGAGTGTACGAACATTTCTACTTGGGCATGATGAAGTATGCAGCGGCTGCAGTGGAGCAATGCGTCCACTAGCATAACCAGCTGATTTGGGCTTAACGCCGTGTCGATTGCCTATGTTTTCTCCTGCCTTTGGCGGTCCTCGTTGTGCTCGATCATTTTTGGAAACGCTTACAGGTAGGATCTAGCCATTGCACTTGACCGTGTTAGGGATTTTCGCGGTGTTTTTTCCATTTAATAGCCGAAGATGCTCTTCAGTCGTAAAAAGGATGAGCACATTTTCGACCAGTGCTGAAGTGTAAGCTCGATATTACTAATGGAAGATGGCTGATTTTCTGTGTTGTTCCTGCTGCAAAGAAATCTTGCGCAAAGTGCAAATTTATTTTTATCTAACCTCGAAGCGTTTTCACGATCACTCATGATCTATTTAGTAAGTCAGTGCTCTGAAAAGTCATGAGAGGCATTCATCACTGAATTGCATGGAACTGTAGCACGAACCGTCATTTCACTATGAAATGTTTTCTCAAGCTTTTCTCAACCTGTTCCAGTGGTTTGCAGTTGTATTGATCAAACTGCAACTGATGTGATTAACCTTCTTTCACTTGGATCGTCATTTTAACTTTGACTGGAATTTATCTGGCTCTGATAATATCGAAGACTGTTGACCATTGTAGCTGGTGATCACTACTTTGATGGGAGAACCACATTCTCTTTGACGTCTGAGTTTTTCTGGGCTGAAGAGCAGTCTGGCAAAATATCTGCCTTCCAAGGACTTCAGAGAGAGGCGGATAAGGTACTATGCGCACCTTGTTACCATTACATTCACAGGAATATATAATAGGGCGCTAACATATAACGTGCCATGGATCTCGAATGAGCAACAATCTCAGTCACTGTCCATTTCTTTTTGTAATAATGCTATCGTTGTCTTCCGAAGTTAATTCATATTCAGGGCTGAGAAAAGAGGAATAAGTCTAAAATTCTCCTCATTTTAATTGGCTGTTACACTTTGTGCTGATGTAGTCAGGTGTCATTTAGATGAAGACGAGCTCCAGCGGAAACCATTTGCAAGACGTAACGTAGCAATGGATCTAAGTTGTGGCATAGCCACTTCAGAACACAATATTGTCCACATTGTTCTGAGGACAGCGACTTCCTATCTTTCTCTCCCACCTCGTTACTCCAATGCAAAACAGAGTGAATTACCTGTTCGACGGAATTAACAGTTAATAAGAAAAAAATGATGCAATACGGTTCAGATCTGCACGTCTCTGTAATGTAAGTCGCATAACCCAAACCTCTTTCCCGCACATTTTTAAGGCGCTAAGAAAGTAAAAAATTTTTTACACAGTATACAGAGATTTCAGGCAGCATTATTTGGAGCATGTCTGTTGTCCATCAGTTCTTGGAAACAGTTTCAACACATCGAACTTTCTTTAATAAGTTCGGTAAATCCCGTATTTATGAGTAACAGTTTTAAAATTTACATTAAATCTTCCTAGGTTAAATTTCGACCATCTGTCCAGGTTAAATATTCACTGTTTTATTTTTTGTCCCATCTTTTAATCATGCACTCCACGCAAGTATTTTACTCGATTATGAGATTATTCCCAATTTCCATTTGACTGTCGCAGAATTTGCTGATAAACGCTATTCTGAAGGTCCGGCGGTACATAAAATAGATGACCTTTTTGCAAAAGACACCACTTTTTTCAGTCTAAGCTCAAGCCATGGTTGGCAAAATGTCTCAACCAGCTTTTGTACAGTTAAAAATATGGTTTGAACAAATAGTTTATTAGATTGTTTTGCTGTGTTTTGCATTTTACTTTTTAGTTTAATTTTGTGGGAAAATTGATGGGTCCAGGCGGCAGTACTTTGAAAAGTATGCAGGAAAAGCTAGCGGTAAAATTGAACGTTTGGGGCCGCGGATCGACGAAAGACAGTAGCAAAGAAGAGGCGCTTCTTGCAACGGGAGAACCGAAATACGCACATCTGAAAGAGTGTCTGCATGTCCGAGTTACCGTTGTGGCGCCCCCAATCGAAGCTTATAAAAAGATGTCAGAGGCATTAGAAGAAGTGAAAAAACATTTGAATCCGGTAAACTTAATCTAGAGGTTTTTCATTGTTTCGTTTTACCATTTAAGTTGTTGATTTCCATTGTAAATTTTTATAACGGTGCTAAGTCCGCCTTTGATTTTAGCAGATTTATTCTTTTTGGTTTACTCTCATTATTAAGGGCAACAACCCTGATATATGCTTCTTGCGCAAATCTTTAATTTGCCTCAGACGCATAAATGTTGTAATGCAACAAAATTATGGTTTCCTAGCAAAAGTTAGTTTTTAATACTGTCCGTGGGACTGCTTTTAATAACTGATACACCTTTTCCTGCGTGCGGTAACCATTTGCAGGGCGTAATCGCACTGCTCCTATTTTTCAAAGCTTAATGGACATGTTAATGAAATCATGGCTCTATTGCATTATGGTTCCTGCGATACGTGCTTTCAGAACTATATCATTCTGTTGGATTGAACATGAAACTTGTTCTGAGTGTAAGGGAATAGTTTTATTCAAAATTATAGAGATTTTATCAGACTGAAATTATGATAAATTTTTTCTATTACTATACGTTTAGTTTAGGGTTTATAGACGTTAGATCTTTTCATTTTGAACTGTTTTTGCGCCTTCATTTTAAAACCGTAATCAGAAGTACTTAACCGGAGAAATAAAGAAAAACTATTTGCTGTAGTTGAATCTGCAGTATTTCTCTCTGTGCTTTAATATTGAAGGCGTAATAGCTTGGCTGATGCTATGCTGTTTATCTGTACCTGGTTTAAGGACATGGGTGATGATATATCGAAAGCTCAGATTACAACGCTTGGGTTCAATCCTCAGAAATATGCAAATCAGCCTGCAGCCCCAAGGTAAGGCGCTGTTTGTTTCATATAGGAAAATCTTGTTTATTACTGGATTAACTTGACGTCAGATTTCCACTTGCTGAATTTCATGTGCGTGAATGTTTCGTTTTCTATTTAATGTAGCTCCCTTAGGTATTGTGACGTTAAATCAATATTAAGTTGGTAAACGTCTTATCTCGTAACACTGTTTCGAGATAGATGTGTTTATTAATCGCTACGAGTTTTTCACGTTAAAGGTACTTTTCGTATTA